TAGGAAGATGGAACTGGTCAAAAACTCTTTGTTTTTTTCGTCTTTGCCCTATTCTTGTTAACACAAGAATGCGCAAAGAGGTGCAGCTGTAGACACCCGTTTTTGACCGGGCTTAAAAAATATTATAAATATTAAATATATTATTATTATTATTATTAATTATTGTATTTTACATTTGCAGGCCAAAGCCCAATATAACCTCACCCAAATTACAACAAGCTCAAGACCCGGCTCAAGCCCAAGACTCGAATTAGACCCATCAACTTGACCTGGTTCAAGTCATCACCAAGTTATGTTTCCCACGTGTTGTTGTCACCCACCGAACAAGACACATGCTCGCGCCAATAATGCCATCTTCAGCATTTCACGGGAAACTTGCAATAAAGTCATCTGAATCAAGGGAAAAGTCAATCGATCATACCTAAACCTATCAAAGTCACACCAAATACAAAGAAAATGTGTAAGAAGAGGACAAGGGGCTTTCGGTGGAAAAAAAATAAAATGAGGGGGGCTCTCGGTAAATAGAGGGAGGCTCGGCCAGAAACAAAAATTAGAGGGGAGGAGCAAGCAAAGAAAAAAAAACAAAAACGAGAGAACTAGAAATTATCAGGGGTAACAAGCAGAAAATACGATTCGAACAGAAAAAAAAAACGTTTCGAGCAGAAAAACCATTGGCAAACAGAGGGGGTTTTCTCAGTTTTTAACAGATACGAGGGGGAAACAATTGTAACGGGGGCAACAAAAGGATTCGAACGATTAGCAAGCAGAGAAAATCACATACGTACCAAAGGAGAAAATAAAAAACAAAAGCAAATGTAATCCTTCTTCCCCATTTCATGCAGAAAAAACAATATAAAATAGAAAGGATTTTGAAAGTTAATCCTCATATGGAAATGAAATACATAACAGAGGTTTTTTTAAGGTATATATTGTTTTTATTTTTTTAATCAAAATCAACAATGAAATAATCTTTGCTTTAGGAGCTTAACCATTTTCATATTTCAGCCACTACCTTCCCATTATTATTCAAAGCATGATTCGAACAAAACAAAATAAAGTAAATAGGCAGTGAGATTTACCTTTTGATATGGATTCGTCGTCGGATTAAGGAACTCGGGATTACGAGTTTAGGGTTGTTTGGAGTTTGCTCAACAATCGAGGGCGGTCACCGGAGGGGTTCTAGGTTTCGGTTAGGGTCTTGTTTGGTTGATCTCGGGGTGTAGTAATTGAGAAATAGGTTCTTTAGTGGAGAATGGTGGTCGATCATGGTAACCAGAGTGAGAAGTAACCACCTGGGGAGCTGCTTGTGCCGTGAGTCTAATCTCTTAAGGCTCTCGGTGAAAGGCCGAGAGATGAGAGTAAAGAAGAAAGTGATATGCGGTTGAGAGTTAGTCAAATAAGGGTTAGGACATTTTCATTTTAAATGTTATATATGTTAAATTGCCAAACGGTAGTGTATTGAGGGATGAGAAATCTCGTGTTTTAAGAAAAAGGGAATTTTTGAGTAAGTTCCTTTAGGTTCTTGAATGGTTATATTTTGGTCCCTAAAATGGATATTTCTGAGTCTTTTAATTTTGTCTTCATAGTTTATGCGTTTTTATTTTATTCATTTGTTAGGTTATTTAAATTTACATTTTTTTTATTTGATATGCAATCTTTTATTATCTTATTTTAATCCTTCATATTTTCTTTGGTTATATTACTTTGTAAAGTCTAAAGTTTGAATTGTTTTAGTGATATTTTGTTATTTACTTTATTTATGATGTGGTCATTGAATTCGTTCTATTTATGTTTTAGTCAATGTTTAAGTTTTTTTTGTACACGTATGTATGTATGTATGGACAGTTTAGGTTTGCTTTGAGGGTCTGCTAACCATATGTTTGAATCATTATGATACTTGTGTGTGTAAATAGTTATTTTAAGCATGTTGTTCATACGCATGAATTTAGGTGTAATTTATTTTTATATATTAGTCTCATAAGCATCCCTTGACTTGAATCAAAATAATTGGATTAAGGGTAATACTCTTTTAATTTAAAATTATTTGATTGGCTTTTCTTAACTCACAAGAGAGCCGTTTTAGACGATTTTAAATTAAAAGTGTGTCTCATCATTGTCACTAAAAAATTTGACTCTTCGCCTTAAAATTTGGGAATGAAAGAAAAAGAAATGTTCGGCTATTTAAATTTATTGAGAAAAGATCGTTAGAACTCACATAAAGATATGGTCTCAATTTTTTTTAAATAATCGAATATTCTTTATCTTTCTAATGGCTTGGTAATTTAAATTTAATATATTTTGTTGCTTTTGAATGTTATAAAATTCACATTCTTGTTGTTTTAAGGGATCAAAAATTAAATTAAAGTTGAACTTGTAAAATTTCATTGCAAAGACGTTAATTAATCGATTAGGTATCGATTTAGGGTGTTGTGGGGGTGCTAATCCTTCCCCACACGTAACCGACTCCCGAACTCATTTTCTAATAATGCAGACCTTTACTTGTCGTTTTAATTAAAATTAATGTTTTTATTTAAAATGGCAAAATATTTTTGGGAGTCTAATCACACCATAATCAAAGATTGGTGGCGACTCCTCGAACCGTATGATTTTTTCTTTTATCGTAAAGGAATTTTCAATTTTTTTTTCGAAACGAGAGGTTTCTAAAATCACATTATTTTTTAATTAAAAATTCAATCGTAAAGAGATCAATAATTAAAAATGACGTGGTTTTCAAAATCTCGCCCCACTTTTTAGAAAAAAATCGTTTCGACAGCTTGGCGACTCTGTTGGAGACTTTTTTTATAGAGTCAGGCCAATAGTCGATTAACTAATTGTCTTTGCAAATGAAAGTTATAAGTTCGTTTTAATTTGATTTTTAATCCCTGGTTTGTTTTAATTTTTTGGTTTCATTTTAATTTTTTTTGGTTTCATTTTAATTTTTAATTTGATTAACAAATAAATAGTTATACTAATGTGCGATTTGCATGTTTCAGTTTTCTGACCTTCACTTTAGTTTTTTGATTTTCTTGGATCGAGGCAAAGGATTATGGGTTTTCCCTTATTGTCGCTACAACTTTTCAATATTTAGAGCCTTCTAACTGTGCTCTGTCCCGTTAGGTAGGGGTGAAAGCTAATCTTACGTGAGAAAAATTATTTTTCTCCGCATGGGCTTTAGCAAGTAACCTCTGGGGTACATGCCTTAAGTTTACGAGTGAAACATTGTGTTGAGTTAATCGATCGACGAATATGGCCAAGAGGGGGGTGAATTGGCAATTAAAATTTTGGTGGAAGCTTTTGCAGAAACAACAACAACAAAACCCTATTCCCATATGTAATGGGGTAAGGGGGAGGTAGGGTAGTAGGCTGTCCCCCAATGCCAGGTTGAGAGCAGCTTCCGTGGAAGACCTCCGGCAGTCAAAAAAATTAAAAATAAAGATAAAATACAATGCATGTTTAAATAAATAAATAAAATATGTAGTTGGACAATCTTCATATGCAGTCTTCATATGCACGTCTGTAATGGGAAGTAATCCCTGCAAATACACCCCTGCGTAAAAATATCTGCATATAGACAGAAAAGTAAGACCCGTCCAAAATTATAAAGAGGAAACATGAAGAACAGTATACAAGGAATTCAACGATAGCAGGCTTCGAGAATGGATAAAGTCAAATGGGTTAAAACCTAAACTAAGGCAACACTACTCCGCTACCTTAGTTCTAGGCCTTCATTAATTCCAATGACAGAAACGTATAAAAAGTATAAGTAATGAAATTACTACAAAGGCATTAAAAGAAGACAAAGATGATACACCCAATGGATGTGACTCGCCCTACTCGGCTACCATGGTCTTAAGTCGCCATAATTTCCTATCAGAGGTCATGTCCTCAGTAAGGGCTGAATCCTTCAAATCAGATCTCAAGCAGTCTTCCCATTTCCGCCTTGGTCGACCTCTCCTTCTGGTACCGTCGACTGAAGCTTTTGCAGAAAATTGAAAGTAATTGCACAACGATTTAGAGTGGTTCGACTTTCTCAATCAAAGTCTACGTCCACTACCTTAGCTATCCACACTAAGGATTTTCCACAAATTCACTAATTTGTCTTTCTTTTGAGGACAAAGAGTAACCTTACAAACCCTTAAGAATTATACCCCAAATTCTTGAGAACACTCTCTCCTAAAGAGAACAATACAAATTTGCAAACTTACAAGGAAATCCTCACAAGGTATATTGTTTGCACAATTCTAGAACAAAGAAAAGAACACTCAAGAATAATACAATTGAGCACAATAAGTGTTCTTGAAAGCAAAATGAATATTGAATGAAAAATTGGCTTGAAATACTCAAACTTGAGGTTTGATGCTTTCTCTTTGATTCTCCCTTGATTATAGTTGCTTGATGTTTCTTGTTGTTGATCAATGGATTCTAAGCTTGCTTAAATACACCTTGAATCACTTCTGAACGTTGGGGATCATTAATGAAGTTATTGGAGCCGTTTAAGTGTGAAAATAATTAATATTTCTGTTTGGAGCGTGGGGGGAATCGGTTCCCTAAGTTTAAAATTCAAATATTTCGACCGTTGAACAGTGGGGGGAATCGGTTCTCTCCGAGCATACTGGAATTCTCGGAGCCAAACTATTCAGGGGGGAATCGGTTCCCTCTGAGCAATCTGGAATTTTTGGCTTTGAAATGGTTCGAAATATTTTGTAAAATCGTTTTGAAATTATTTTAAGATTAAAACTTAATTTTACACTTGAGTAAGGATTTAAAATGAACTTTGAAATACTTTGAGTAATATTTTGATATTCGATTTAATATATCAGATATGCTTAGAAAAATCATTTTCAAAATTAAAATTCTTTTAATTTAATTTATTATATCGAAACATCAAAATGTTTTCAACAATCTCCCCCTTTTTTATATAACAAAACATTTTAAGATTTTCTAATTTCAAAATGAATTTTGATTTAGAAAAATACTACTCCCTCTTACTTTAACACTACTCCTCTTCAAAAACACTTTTAACATTTCTCCCCCTCTTTGTTAAATAAAAAAGACTCGTAAAAGATTTTAAACAAGGTTTTGAAATTATTTAGCCAATTGATTATATATATAGCTTAAACTGCTAAGAACACAATCAAAAAAGAGAGGTTAGCCATTAGTTTCATAATCAATATTCATAAACATGTAATGGATAATTGGTCATATATGTCTAAAGATGCAAAATAAACACGAAATACAAATCAAATGTATTAAACATAAGTTCGAACAACCAAAAATAAACAATCCAAAAGCATTCAAAATGTTTTAACAATAATGCAAATATCCAAGTTCAATCCAAACAAGCAAAGCAAAGATTAAAGTTCAAGCATCCGTAGTAGGATCGGGAGGTGGGAAATGAGCTCGCATAACTGCCATTTCATGAGTGAGTTCATTAATACGAGCGTTGGTTGCTTCATTGTTTGTACGCATCTCCCGGAGAATTTCCAATTGTTGAGCTTCCATAGTCGAGAAGTGAGATTCTATGGAAGTGAAGCGAGAATCCAAGATGCATAACGGAAATCAAATGTCTCCATAAATTATTGAAAATATAGAGGCACATGATATTCTTGCTGAGCTTGTTCCTCGTGTTGTTCCGGCTCATCGTCGGCTTCGTCAATATCTTGAATTAATTGTTCAAGCTCGGGATCATCGTCAGCTTCTGGTGGAGCTTGAGAAGAGCTAGCTCCCGGAGTATTTTCAGAAGATCGAACCCATTCACCAGTGTCCTTATTCTTTATCTATCCCGCTCTCGTTAACGAAAGAAGATCAATTTGTTTGTTGAGAAGAAAGACGACATCTAGACCTACTCTAAGCCTGGCTTTAGAAAATAGATTACTCAGAATGCAACCGTAAACTAGAGATGAACAGAGTTTCTTATTAGGATCAAGATTTACGGTTTCAACAATTTCAACAAAAATAATCTGAGGTAGGTTTATTTTAATATTGTTTTGGAAACAGTGTAACCACCAAAGATCTAAAGCACGAAGAGTAGAGTAACAACCTCCGGATGGTCGAAACCACCAAGAAATCATTAGATGAAGAAAATGATCACGAAGATCTAAGACGCTCGCACTATCCCTTATTTTATAATGAGAACCTAAAAACTGTTTTTCATTTGATATACCATCATTATCTAATCATAATTCATTAGCTATGTAAGCCGAGTCAAGATGGATGAATTGTCGTAGGAGATAGGAACGAACTGCTATGGTTTTGGTTTGAGCTCAGTTTTTAATACAAACGGCATTAGAATAGAATATGGGAACAAGTTGATGGTAAACTATAGGTTGAAGGTCACAAAGTTTATCAAATTTCCACTATTGTAAAAGAGGAAGATATCCAAAATCGATATCTATCATAGCTTGACGAGAAGGGATACGTTCTTCTCTAATTTTGTAAGAGTCAAAATATTGATAATACCAAAAACGATGATTTCTAGGTCCAGGATGATTGAAGCATGAGTTTTGGATAGTCATATTAGGATCAACGGGATTAGGAATAGGAATTTCAGGAATAGGAGGAGGATTTGGAGGTAGATTTGGTTGTTGGTTTGAACGACTAGATGATGACCTAGCACGTTTAGGATTGGGCATGGTTTAGGAAATCGGAATAGAATGGATAACCTGCAATTTATAAAACACATGTATGCATTTCAATCAATCCCATGAGTTCTCAATATTTCAAGGTTCTCTTAAACTAATCCAAATGGGCAAAGTTTTCAAAAAACTTATTGAAAAATAAGGTTTGGAAAATCAATATATGTATAGTTTTTATAACAACAACGTAATTTAATCAAAACACAATAATAAATATTTTTTTTATTTCGAAAATTTTGGAAAAATCTTGTGTTTTTGATGAAATTAGTTGTAAAAATTTAGTTTCTAAACACTAATAAGCAATGCCCGATCACTATTTCTATTTAGAACTAATTGAAACTAGTCCTATGTTCAAAATCAATGAAATAGAGAGTTTAGAAAAATTTACCTTGAAAGATGAGATTGAGTGGATTTTGATGTTTGTTTGCTTGATTTCAATGATGCTAGTAGGTTTAGAAGATGATATTTGAAGTGAATTCTGATTAAAATGTTGATTTGAGGAAAAATGGAGATAGGGAGAGAATAGAGAGGGGGAACGGTGGCAAAGGAAGAAAAAGAGAGGTTTTGAGCAAAATATAAGGGTTCTGCCCGATAAAACCAGAACCCCAGGGGGTATCGATTCCCTCTGCCCTATAATTCAAAAATCTGTATTTTAAACACTCAAAATGCTAAATTAATCTTCTCTAGTGGTATTGGCAACTCATAAAGTTAATTTTTCATCAAGAATCATAAACTCCCCCTAACTAATAGAAATGAATGTAATAAGAAATTACTATTATAAGCATTTTTCATTTAGTCTTAAAAGTTCTAAAATTATTTTAAACACTAAGTGAAGATAGGTCAGTTAAACCTAATTCTCTCCTAAGTGTCCAAAAACGTTCCTTGTCTAAAGGTTTTGTAAAGATATCTACTAATTGTTGCAAAGTATCAACAAATTCTAGAACTACATATTCCTTAGTGACATGGTCTCTAATGAAGTGATGTCTTATTTCAATGTGCTTAGTTCTAGAGTGTTGGATGGGATTTTTAGTGAGACAAATAGCACTAGTATTGTCACACTTGATAGGAATGGTACTTACTTCAATTCCATAATCAAAAAGTTATTGTTTCATCCAGAAAACTTGTGCACAACAACTACCAGCTGAAATGTATTTGGCTTCAGTGGTAGATAATGCAACACAATTTTGTTTCTTTGAAAACCAAGAAATCAGCATATTTCCAAGGAATTGGCAAGTACCGGAGGTGCTTTTCCTATCTAATTTGCATCCTCCATAATCCGCATCAGAAAAGGCATGCAAGATAAAGCTAGAGTCTCTAGGATACCAAAGTCCTAAATTAGGAGTGTCCTTAAGGTATATAAAGATTCTCTTAACAGCTAGTAAATATGATTCCTTAGGGCATGATTGAAATCTAGCCCATAAGCAAACTCTAAACATAATGTCCGGTCTACTTGCAGTTAGATAAAGTAGAGATCCAATCATTGACCTATATAATTTATCATCTACACATTTACCTCCTTCATCTAAGTCAAGCTTTGTTGAAGAGCTCATTGGAGTGTCATGAGGTTTTCCATTTTCCAGTCCAAACTTCTTGAGCATATCTTTGACGTACTTAGCTTGATTGATGAAGATGTCATCTTTTGTTTGCTTGATTTGGAGTCCTAAGAAAAATGAGAGCTCCCCCATCATGCTCATTTCGAATTTGCTTTGCATTAGCTTAAAAAATTCTTGGCAAAGAACATCATTAGTAGAACCAAATATTATATCATCAACATAGATTTGAACTACTAATAAATCTTTACCTTTATGCTTTAAAAAAATGTAGTGTCAACCTTCCCTTTTGAAAAACCCTTTTCAATTAAAAAATTTGACAATCTTTCATACCAAGCTCTAGGAACTTGTTTTAAACCATAAAGTGCTTTTGTCAATTTAAGAACATGATCCGAAAATTTTGAATCTTCAAAACCTGGAGGTTGTTCCACAGACACTTCTTCTTTTATAAAACCATTTAAAAATGCACTTTTAACATCCATTTGATATAGTTTAAATTCATGAAAACATGCAAATGCTAATAACATTCTAATTGCTTACATCCTAGCTACAGGAGCATATGTTTCATCATAGTCTATGCATTCTTCTTGAGTATACCCTTGAGCAACAAGTCTAGCCTTGTTTCTCACTATATTACCACTCTCATCAAGCTTATTCCTAAATACCCATCTAGTACCTACAGTAGATTTATTATTAGGCCTTTCAACTAATGTTCATACTTTACTTCTCTCAAATTGATTTAATTCTTCTTGCATAGCCATAATCCAATGTTCATCATTTAATGCTTCTTTAATATTCTTAGGCTCTATACATGAAATAAATGCAACATAATTACAAATATTTCTAAGAGAAGATCGAATTGTTACCCCTTTGGATGGATCACCTATAATCTCACCATCCTTGACATAGTTATACTCTCTTGGATAAGATACTTCTCTTTCTGCAATGGTTGGATTCTCGAGAGGATCATGAGTTTCCTCATCTTTCGTTTCTTCCTTTGATGATGGTTCTCCAACGTCATGTCTAATGTCATTTATAATGCCTACATCATCATTCACACAAGAATCCTTCCTCGGAAGGAGATTATCATCGAAAACAACATGTATAGACTCTTCTACAACTAAATTTCTTTTATTAAATACTCGATAAGCTTTAGAATTTAAGGAATAACCCAGAAAAATTCCTTCATCATTTTTAGCATCAAATTTGCCAAGGTTTTCTTTACCGTTGTTTAAAACAAAACATTTACATCAAAAAGGATGAAAATAGCTAATGTTAGGCTTTTTATTTTTGAAAATTTCATATGGAGTTTTCTTTAAAATTGGCCTAATCATTACTCGATTTACAACATAATAAGCGGTATTTGTGGCTTCCGCCTAAAAATATTTTGGCAAATTATTTTCACAAAGCATGGTTCTAGCCATTTCTTCTAAAGTTCGATTTTTCCTCTCAACAACTCCATTTTGTTGAGGGGTTCTAGGTGCTGAAAAATTATGGCTAATACCATTAGAATTAAAAAACTCATTAAATCCAATATTTTCAAACTCAGTGCCATGATCACTTCTAACATTAGTGATAGAGTAACCTTTTTCGTTTTGGATTACTTTTGAAAATGTGATGAAATTTTCTAATGCTTCATCTTTAGTACTTAAGAATAGAACCCAAGTATATCTAGAATAGTCATATACCAAGACAAATGCATATTGTTTTCCACCCAAGCTAGTAGTCCTAGTTGGCCCAAAAAGATCTATATGGATCAATTGTAATACTCTACTAGTTGACACATCATTAATGGATTTAAAAGAAACTCGCTTTTGTTTTCCTTTAGTACAAGCATCACATATTTTATCATTATCAAATTTTAGTTTAGGCAGCCCTCGAACCAATTCTCCTTGAACTAACCGTTGCAAAACACTCATGCTAGCATGTCCTAGTCTCCTATGCTATAACTAACTATCATGCTCATCCTTTGTAACTAGGCATAAATTAGTGATTTCTATAGAGTCTAAATGCACCATGTATATGTTTCCTATTCTATGACCAACAAGTATAATCCTATTAGATGCAATGTCAATGACTTTACAACCATTAGTTTCAAATATGACATTGAATCCCTTATCACATAATTGACTAATACTCAAGAGATTATGCTTTAATCCATTCACATATAACACATTTTTAATTTGTATGGAAGAGGTATTATCTATTATACCTATACCTTCAATATGACCTTTTGAATTATCACCAAAAGTCACTTCTCCTCCATTTTTGGCGTTAAGCTCTATGAACCAGCTTTTGTCTCCGGTCATGTGTCTCGAGCATCCACTGTCAAGGTACCATGAATTTGAATTTGTTTCTCGTGCCTTGTAGTAATGCTCATTTTCCTACAAACATAGATTAATTTCTAATTTTTGGTACCCAAATTCTTTTGGGTCCATATTCATTAGTTTCCAAAATCCTAGTCCCCTTAGCCATTGATGTAGGATATCCTTATTTTTAGTAGTAATGAGTTCTTTGGGAACCCATATACTTTTAATGATTTTTCCATTAGAGGTTTTTCGGGAACCTCTATGATTGTAGTTTTTAAAACTTTTTCTAACAAAGTTGCATTTTGAATTTTCTCCATTTTCAAAACATTTTGTTCCAACTTTATCAAAAGAAACTTTAAGATCATCAATTTTCTTTTGATGATCATCATTGACCTTTGAAAGTAAATTTTGCAAATCCAAAATTTTCTTTTCAAACTCTTCTAGTTTGATTTGCAAATCTTTGATTTTACTTTCAAGATCATTGTTGGTTTTGGATATGAGTTTATTTTCATTTTTCAATTTTGAAACATCATTTTTATATTTTAAAAACAATTTCTCATAATCCAAAGCCAACCCATTATATTCCTCTAATAACTCATAATAGGATAAATCATCAAAATCAGATGAGTTAGAGATTACCTTAGAATCTTCCCCAAATGACATCAAGCACAAGTTTGCTACTTCTTGTTCCCCTTTATCGGAACCTTCTTCATCGCTCTATGTAGCCACATGAGCCTTGTGCTTATTCTTTGATTGACCATTTCTCTTCAATTGTTGGCAATCATATTTGACATGTCCCGATTTTTTGCATTCATAGCATATGATCGTGTCCTTCTCTTTTGGTTCATTTTTGAGGCCTTCACTTCGTTTGAATTTTCTTCATTGGTAAGGTCTCATCATTTTTCTGAACCGTTTGGCAAACAATGTCATTTCCTCATCATCGTCATCTTCATTAGAATCACTCTCATCTTTTGTAGATTTGAGAGCAACTCCAATGTTTTTCTTCTTCTCCTTCTCCTTTGGTGTCTCGTCAATCTTATCGAGGTCCACCTCATCTTCAAGCATCATTTCATGAGTGAGGAGGGAACCGATTAGTTCTTCAAGAGTTAAGGACGTTAGGTCCTTAGACTAGATGATTGTCGTCTTCTTTGATTGCCATGATTTTGGAAGGGAGTAAACTAACTTCCTCACAAGCTTTTCATTTGAAATGATATCTCCATATGATTTGAGACCATTGAAAATCGTTGAGAATCTATCCGTCATAGCTTTGATATCTTCATTTGGTTTCATCCTGGAATTTTCATAGCTATGCATTAGAATACTAATTTTAGATTTCTTTACCTCATCGGTACCTTCATGAGTGACTTGAAATTTGTCCCATATTTCTTTGGTGGTTGTACAAGATGAAACTCTTCCGATTCATCTGGTCCAAGAGAACAAAATATGATATGGATGGCTTTGGAGTTGAGCTGGAACATTTTTGTCTCTCCTTCACTCCACAATCTTGGATGAGTGAGAGGCTTGATATATCATTCTTCTACGACATTCCATATTCCCATATCACTTGCTTGAATGAAGTACATCATCCTATTTTTCCAATAGGCATAGTTAGCCCCATTGAAGAAAAGAGGCTTGTTGACGGGCATCGAATCGAGACCGGAGTTGAAGTTTGAAGTAGAGACCATTGATGACTTTGATTATCGATGTAACTCTTCCCGAATCGACTCAAGAGGTGATTGAACCTTCAAATGAGTTAGGCTCTGATACCAATTGTTGAGTTAATCGATCGACGAATATGGCCAAGAGGGGGGGTGAATTGGCAATTAAAATTTTGGTGGAAGCTTTTGCAGAAAATTAAAAGTAATTGCACAGCGATTTAGAGTGGTTCGACTTTCTCAACCAAAATCTACGTCCACTACCTTAGCTATCCACACTAAGGATTTTCCACAAATTCACTAAATTGTCTTTCTTTTGAGGACAAAGAGTAGCCTTACAAACTCTCAAGAATTATATCCCAAATTCTTGAGAACACTCTCTCCCAAAGAGAACAATACAAATTTGCAAACTTACAAGGAAATCCTCACAAGGTAGATTGTTTGCACAATTCTAGAATAAAGAAAAGAACACTCAAGAATAATACAATTGAGCACAATAAGTGTTCTTAAAAGCAAAATGAATATTGAATGAAAAATTGGCTTGAAATGCTCAAACTTGAGGTTTGATGCTTTCTCTTTGATTCTCCCTTGATTCTTATTGCTTGATGTTTCTTGTTG